TGTTGGAGCCGAGACAATTAATTTATATTGTCACTGGTAGACCGGTATTAAATAAAGTAATTTAGATAAGACGTCGCTCGAGCGATTCCTTGGCACTATATAATATAAACTCTTGTCTCTTAGACTTTTAGTAGCGTCATAGCTAAAAGACAGTGCACATACCGTTCGGTGCATTACACTATTGCTATTAATTATATTTGCTGGAAAACTCATTCTACGTAACTATAATTAACGTTAGACAATCAATAAAATTGTACACCGAAGTACACGGATTACTTTATATTATTCCCTTTGGCCCCCCAAGAAGCTCTCTTTAAAATTTGTTTTTGTCAATATATTGGTTATACTCAGCCGTCGGTGTAGGTATACAGTTTTATCGTCTGTCAACATCCATTTTCAAATCTTTTTTTCCAACGCTCTTTTAGATGGCCTTTTTAAAAAGTATATGCCATAGGTAAAATTAAAATCGTTGGAAATTGCACTATACCAATTATACGCACAATAATATGACATTGTCAACTTACTAATTAGCAGTGTTGGGGGTAAATTACTTTTGAAAAGTTATAAAATTACGTTAATCGTCACATCAATTTTTTTATTTTTTTATTACATTCGCGTCGCCCGATTTTATTTTTATCACGTTGCGTTACTTTTATATTTAAAAAAACACTTTTCTAAAAAAACAAAAAATAATGAAAAATTTAAAAGTGTGTGGTATAATATGTCAAGTGTAAGAGCGCCACACACTTTTAAATTTTTCATTATTTTTTTGTTTTTTTAGAAAAGTGTTTTTTAAAAAAAATTTTTTAATTTTTTATTTTCTACTTTTTAGTTAAAAAATTTTTTTTACGGATTATTGTATTGTCATCCAAGACCAAGGTCTATACCAATTTTCAGAATTTTTCATCTTCAAAAAGTGCCTCAAATCGAGCGCGCAAGATTTGATCACAGACAGACGTGAAACCAAACTTAAGAAAAGTGTTAAAAAGTAGGATGTTACAAATAAAGTTACTTTTTAAAAATTAATTACAAAATCCGTTGTAATGAATAGTAGGAAACCTATTAATTACAATATAAATTGTATTAGTATTAATTATTGGGGTCTTTAATAGGTAATATTGTTCATTATTATATACAACTTTCGGAATTGTAAATAAACTGTATTGATTTTTAATTTTTCTCGAATATTCTAGGCCCTAGTTGTTGTTATAAGATGCTCTACATTCATAATTTATTTTAATAACGTGAAAAATACCCAACACGTTATCAGGTATAAAAATTACTTTTAAAAGTAATTTCGTTTCAATTGTGTTAATTAAAAAAAAAATATAATGAAATCACTGCAGCGTTACTGCAAAAGTAATTTCGATACAGTAATTTGCAAATTTTCGTTACGTTACTACCCACCACTGCTAATAAGAGGTTACCTACCTACTCAAATCCTCTCCAAAATTTTAATATTATAATTTATGTGCTCCCTATAAGTAACTATATAATACTCTATTAGGTATCGCTTTACTCTGTTACTTTTCACGTCTTCAATTCACTCATTAATCATGATGGAAATTGAACACTCTCCATCGTTGCATGTCACAAGTTGATTTGGATTGAACCACTTTTTTTTCTTATTCACAGATAATATAATAATAGATTTTATTCTATCCAAAGTTTGAACGGTATACCTACCTAGTTCCTATATACTATTATTAGTTATTACTTGTCACAACTTATAATTGTATTATCCATTAGGTAAATTATACTTGTTTGTTACTAAATCGAAACGTCGTATGGCGATGGTATATAATTGTTGTCATATTTAAGGTTAAGTGGTTTCCTCTTTTTTTTTAAATTTGTTTTCTATTGCTGTTGTTCGTATTGTTGTTGATTACCGTTGAGGATTACACATATTATATACTTTAGTTTTAACGCGATATTCGACCTGCTTATACTTAGTAATAATACGATGTATGTAGTAAGTACAATATATATATGTTGTACTAAAGTAATTTTAAGTTGCCTAAACCCGAAGTTCTTGAATCGCGCGATACCAACGCCGGTGTATAGGACCTAGCTTCCCATACTTCATGTACGTGTCTACGAAACCTTTCTTTATAAACCATTAAATGGAGAAACCGTCCAAGTGATTTGGAAATCATGGTTTAAAGTCGATGCAAACATGTACAATATTCTTTCACGCGTACACATACACAATACACGATACATGAAACATGCACGACACCTGATACATCATCATCCATACATAGTATAATATATGTGATTTTGATTGAATTGTAACGATATTGCATGTGTATAGTATAATATATATATCTATATTATATTATTATGTCAATATTTATACATTTTTATAGCGTTAATAGTGCAACTATGCAACTCGATAATAATATCAATATCGTAAATATATTTCGCATAATATAATATTCATGACGTGTTGTGGGTTAAATGTTTGACAGAATTTGTTTTCTTTTTTTCTTTTTTTTTTTTTTTTCATTGATCATTATTAAGTCCGGCAACTATGGCCATTAGCTGTTTTGTTAGTTTGTAGGGGAGGGAACTGTTGGTTTGTAAACACGTGTGTTTGTGGTGGCAGAATTTTTATTGGGGCACCCGTAGGTTTCTGCCATGCCCCGGAGTGGGGGGATGACGGCACTTGTTCTCCAGACACCGTGACTTGCCCGGAGAAAAATGCCGCCCGGTGGTCGAGAATCGAACCCGCGACTGCCAGCGCCGCAGCCGACGCGTTAGACCGCTCGGAGACCTCGTCCCCCAAATTTGTTTTCGCGCAAGGAAATAATGATAATAGTTGTACGGCTGCTCGTTATAATAATACGCATAGAAAACCGACGATTATAGTTATTAATCAAGACAAAAGTACTTTATTTATTCAATATTTTTTTATTTGACAACGAACTTACGAGTTTCATATTATATATTATAACTCATAATGCAATTATTAAACGTTTAAACTACTTTAAAGCCCAAATGGTTATAATAAAACACCGTATTATATTGCTATCGTGTGTATCGTGAGCGTGTCAGGGCAATAGAAACTATCAAACTATCGCGAAAGTGACTCTCATACTGTCATGCATGCGATAATATTATAGAGTGGCCATTACGATATGAGAGACATCGTTGGTCCAGCTAGGATACCATTAATTGCACTTGAATCGAAACAATCGGTTTTTCTACCGTGACATATTCTAATATTTTTATCTCATTTTTTACAATATTTGTTACTCGCCGAATCGTGAAATTTGATTTACTTCAGCTGTACAATAATAATGTCTATGTAATGGATAAATTTAAAATTCTTACGGGTCAATTGCCGTGATGAAATTCATTTCGGGCAAAAACGGCCGGTTAGCAGACAAAGCAAAAATATATAATATATTGTACATTGTATTTGGCCGTAGGTGGTTATTATTGGAGACGGGAGTGAATGCGGGGGCTTAGGCTCCCTCAAAATAATATTTCTAAGATTTCTTAATAATTATTTGTATGAGTATTTTAATTGAAGACAAAATATATTCAAACAAAATCAATTTCGATTACCTATACTTACTGATTATAGAATCATATTTGGATTTTACTAATAAAACCATATAGACTACCTACGATAGACTGTCAGAGCCACTCGAACTGGCTTGAAGCTATAGCTTATTCTCTATACTGATAAAATATTTATCATTTCACAAAAAATATTATTTTTAATCAATAGCCAAATTAATAAACAACTACGACTTGATAATAAATTATAGGTAGGTACATTAAATATTGTGAAGTAAAATAGTTAATAAAATAGTTTTTTTTATATTTGTAATAATTTATAAATAATTATAACCATACAGCGTTTCTGATAAAAATGTTAGTGTTTCGAAATGTGTTGGAGATACATCGGGGGTGGCATATAGATACGCTATAAGATATTTAAACCCCCCTAGTATTTTCTATATAGGATCTCCGTCTATGCAGTTAGCTCCGGCTTAGCTCTCAGAGAGCTTATATATTATATTCCGACGAAGAGAGTTCTTTATATATTGTACAAAACACCGACCGCACCTACATAAAGTACACGGACAGGCAAACTGCTACATACTTAGAATCTAGAGTAGCCTGCGGGGAATCTCAAAGCTGATTTTAAGTGCAAGCGGCGTGACGAACGAGAGGAAATAAAAAGATTTGCGAGCGACGTGATATATAATATTATTATCATCGTATTAGAAACCCGCAGTGCCTATACATAAATATAACAAAATTATGTTGCCAGATCTGATAAGATGGACATAATATCGACTAGCGAGTGGGATAAATGAGTTGATGGGTTGGTTATGGGGGTACAACATTGGGATTTAGACATTTGCATTTTCCATAATTTCAAACAAAAGTGTACAATATTTATATAGGATGAGTGGGAATTCGAAATTGTCTTACTCCACTGAAACCTATGCACATATATTATATAAGTACTTCATATGAATTACTATAATATCTACCTATAAGTAGGTATCTATATTATATATACAGAGAATCGGCGTTGTAGTACTTTGCAATATTTTTATGTCCCCGCATAACAGTTTTCTAATGCTCACTCGTACCACTTCAAAAACAATCCCTTTAGGGCATTACGATTAGATTAAATGCTTTTATTATTAGGTAGCAATAATAATTATGAAAACGTCGTAATTATGACTATTACACCCAATATTAAAAATCGAATATATTCATTAGTTTTTATTTATATAGATTAGGTACCAAAAAACTGTATATTACCATAGGCGCTGACCAGGGGAGTAAAGTATGAGGGTGTCAAAAAATAATATACGTCCCACAGCCAGTCCAGAGATTTTCTCTCCCCACCCATCACCATATAATCACCCACTTAAGCACACTCGACTATCCATCTATGTAAAATATTAGACTATTAAATTGCTTAACTGGCCGTGCTAATAATAAATGAAACTGTTTTTCTGTGTTCTCAGGCGGTTCGAGCTCGGCAAACGAAGAGAACAGCCGACCCAGCACTCCACACAGCGTGGGCGTCAACACGGGTGGCACGTCGTCGCTGGCCGGCCACAGTCCGGATGGATGGTCGACCGGCGAGGACGGTGGTGGTGGCCGAGGCCCAGGGTCGCCGAACCACCAGCGACGGTTCGTGGGCAACTGCGGAGGCGGCGGCCGTTACATGGATCAGTCGGTGAACGCGGCCGTGTCCATGGACGACGACGACGACATGGCAGACGACGGTCCTGACGACGACGACGCCGGTAAAAAGGACCACGGAGGGTGCGGGGGCGGCGGAGGCAACGGCGGCGGGAGCGGCGGGGCGGGCGGCAAGCGGAAGAAGAAGACCCGCACGGTGTTCTCCCGGAGCCAAGTGTTCCAGCTCGAGTCTACGTTCGACATCAAGCGGTACCTGTCCAGCTCGGAGAGGGCCGGGCTCGCCGCGTCCCTGCACCTGACCGAGACCCAGGTGAAGATATGGTTCCAGAACAGGAGGAACAAATGGAAGCGTCAGGTGGCGGCCGAGATCGAGGCGGCCAACATGGCCCACGCGGCCCAGCGGCTGGTGCGCGTGCCCATCCTGTACCACGAGTCCAGCCAGCAGTCCGCGGCCGGCCACCACCACCATCACCACCATCACGGCGGCATAGCCACCTCGGTGGCCACAGTGGGCGGAGGTGGTGGTGGAGGAGGCGGTGGTGGGGGTGGCGGTAGTGGTGGTGGCAGCGGTGCGCCGACGCCGCCACACACGTCGGCGTCCACGCAGGCGTCCGCGTACCAGTCTCAGCAGCAGCCACCGCCGCCGCCGCCGCCGTCGCTGTTCTATCACCATCAGCCGCCGCCGCAGCACCACCACGCCGTCAGCACGTCCACCATCACGCACACCATGTCAACCAGTCCGAACGCCGTGTCCAGGGCGCCACTCACCGGACTCGTCTAATAATATTTTCATCTATTGCGTTATCGCTGCAGTACGAGTGACTCGCCGCTGTCCACATATTACTATTACCTATATTATTATGCATCTAGCTGTCGCTCTCAGCCGTCTACCGCGTGTTCACCACCCACATTATACATTGCGGGTTCGGTGGGTGAGGGTGGGTGCCTGGGAAATCGCCCCACCAACCATTTGTATTTTTTTACCGACACGCGATGACAACTGTTAAAAATAATACCTATTACCTAGTGCACGTGTCCGAGGGTAAAATAATCTCGAACTCGTCGCTGGAATATCAGCTGATTGGGCGAAACATCGACGTTTTAAAATGAGAAAAAAAATTGGTTGAGAATCACCACCCGCGGTGTATATACCTTTATTTATTATATAATACTATGATGCCTCGTCCCCACGTTTTTCGTAAATTTCTAATCATTTCTATACGTGTGAATCATCGCTAAAATACTGTAGAAAGTGCCGGTCAAGTATACCTACGTAATAAAATATTATCATTATTATTGTGTTTGTCGATTTCGATTCCATCGAGATTTTAATAATTCAATAATTTAAATACCCACATCGCGTGTTTCGCGCAGAAAGGAGATAAATCCGATCGTCTAAAACAGAGTTCGGAAATGATGGATTACAACGGAAACCGGACGCGTCCACAACGAGTTTTTTGTCTCTCCTATAAAAAAAAACTATGTACGAAAATTCGACTCATCTCCGACGGTCTTTCTGCACTGCAGTTTTGAGCGATTCGAGTGCCTATACACTTTGCGTTCGGATCAATTACTATATTACCTAATTCCGATTTTCTTTCATATTCATAATTCATGATATTATCGTATTGTGTTGTATAGAGGAGTCGACTGCTGTCGTACTCGTAGGACGGCCACGATATGATATTAAGTTATGATGTGATTTGTTCGTCACGACGCAATAATAATAATAATAATCGTTAATATTATCCTTATCGTCGCGATATTAATTTTAGTCGTTTGAAAAAAAGTTGGTTTTTTATTTAATAAGATTTAACTATTGTAAATAATATAACGGGTGTGTACAATTATTATTATTTACGATCTTATCATTATTATTATTATTATTATACTAATTAATATAAAATATTTTATGTGAAGCCTCCGAAATCCGAAACGGGATACCCGCATTGCAGTCTTGTACATAAAAAAATTATAACGGTTTTTAGGATAGCGACACTCATCTAATTTATTTTATATAGACTAAGATACAGCGTGTAGATATTATTATTATTATTATTATTATATAAGAATAAAATACAATTATTGTTGTATTGTGCAACACACTGTATAATATATTATGCGATCCGGAATTCGGGCCTCGTGTTTTGCTATATATATAATATAGTAATGTGTATAATGTATATTATGAATTTTATTATTGTACCATATAATAATTAGCGTTTTATTTTTCCAGTTACCAAATATTATGTTAAGAATAATATTACGTACCTACCTAATATATTATGATTATTATTGCATAGTTCGTCTGTTATTGTTTTTATTTTATCGGATTTTTTACTGTTAATTTTTTTTTTCAACTATATCTATTATTTTGAAATAAAACACGGCCGAATTCCGATTGAAAATGTGTCATTTTGCTCTATATATTATAATAATATATTATATTATATAGTGCGATGTTCAGTGAATAAAATATTTTACTCGTACTATACTCTAGAGAAAATTTCTAGTCTTTTTTCAGTTAGTACTTACTCGACGGTTGCATCCTATTATATACCTCAAATACGAACATATAAAGATAAAACATTGTATTCCGTTATAATATTATGTAATATTATGCATAATTTAAAGTATACTTTTTTACCTGCGCCTGATAAAACACGAAAATACAATAAACACTACATCGCCTAATCGGTGAAATTAAAATAAGTGGAATATCAAAAAATCGTTGGGCACCAAAAAAAAAAATGATATTAATTCATAGGCATACCCCTGCACCGGGTGGTCTGTGGACTGACCCTTTTTTTAGAGGTTATTATATGAACAAAACCCCAAAATAACACTTTTTGGAAAGAAAAAAAAAACATAATTAGTAGGTTCGTCGCTTAATTATGTGACAAGAATTGTTTTGAAATTATTATAATAATTTAATATAATCCTTTTAAATAAACACGTCTTTATGAAAAATAATATGTTTTAAAAGCAACATGAAAAAAAAATATGACGTGTAACTATTATTTTCCAGGTATAATGAGGAACTGCAGTAATGTAAAAAATGGTTAACATAAATACTTTTAAGACGTTTGAGCATATTTTATTTAGGGGAGCACATGTGTTACCAGCTCTCCTATGGATAATATATAATTTATAGTTGTCGTGCCGATAATCATATTGTGATCGTCAAATTGTTGTCCAGCTCTACTACTAACCTGTGGTTAAAGTTTTAAAGAGTTTGTACCGCTCTATATATAAATTAAAATTCATAATTAATTTCAATAAAACCATTACATTCGGGTCAATGTATCCTGAGGGTCAATATTTAATACAGCAACGAATCTTTGACGACGATTGAGTTTTTAACTTACCTATTCACTATATAAACCACTACTATGATATTATGTATATATAGTGTTGTTTTAGTAGTAAAAATTATTTTACTAATTTTGTTGGCTTATACTATACTTGTATGTATTTTTTATCGTACCTAATCTGTTTTAAACACATATCGCATTATCAAAGACGTAATCTTTTAATTTTCGCTGTTGATCGTGGAGTTTTTTCTCGATCCAACACCGCGGGAATGGGGCAGGTAAGCCTACAAGATAATATACAACTAAACCGTCAGTTTTTCGTGTGCTCGGATACACGAGAAGAGTCGTTTGAGCGAGTTATCCGCGTGGAGTACTGCAGAGCGAGCAATGATGAATGGCCTGCCATCAATCCGATTTAATATAATAATAATATTAAATCACGGAACGTTAAGCACACGAACGAGCGAGAGAGGCGGTTTCATTCCCTTCATTTTTATATAGGTTCTTCCGCGGACAGAGAGAGAGAGAGATAGAGAAAGAGAGACGTCAGAAAAACTGTGTTTATATATCAAGCGGAGCGTGCAATTGTGTACCTCTTTGCCTACATAAAAAAAAATTTACTATAGGTATATGTGCAGTACCTATACGCAGTATGTATTGTTACGAACGATCGTCGTTCTTATTATATTATTATTATTATTATTGTTATTTTGTTTTCCTCGCTGATCGCATTGTAAACGGCAATTCGTGCGCGGAAAACCACTGAGCAGCGGAAGGATTGTCCTCTCGAGAACTACGGCGGCGGTAGGGTGTCACGTTACCCGCCGCGCGGTCGCAGCTAGGAATACCACTATTATGGTATAGCGCATGGTTACCGTGTTTCGTTCACGGTACACCGGACAAACCTCGCGATGAGGACCGTGAAATTGTGTGTGGTTCGAAACGCTATTTTAGCGATACGAAATACATTTTGTGGCACGAACTACGAGTGGTCGGTGAATATATAAAATGTTCAGAGCGAACTGCGTATTGTGAGAATTCGTCTTTTTTATTAACCACGATGTATGTTACCACCCTGTAATGTGTTTAACCTATTAGCGATTATTTTTGTTTTCGTACGCGCATATTTCAATTTAATTATATAATAATATACAGTAGAAAAACTATAAAATCCAAAATATTTACTATTTCGAGTAGATTGGTAGGTTGATCTACAATTGATGGTATAAGCCGGAGTATCGGGCCTTTATATTTTATACAACAAACCTGCAAATTTAAGTTACATAATAATATTATAATACGCATCGTTTTTTCGTCTTCATATGATAACACGTTAATTACAACAAAATCAAGATGTTGTGTTATTTTCTAAAAAAAATTGAATTTGTTTTCAATATCATAAGGGAGGTTCACACTACACCGTGTCGCGGTGTAATATAATCAAGGTTACCACAGTTACCAAACGATACCGCATGGTTGAATTTATTGATCACCCTTAACACAAACCAAAATTAACCATAACCTAACTTAACCATAGCGGTATCTACCATAGTAATATTATGTTGATTGCTGATACAGCTGATACAGCTATAAACAGTTAGACCTATGATATTGATTGGTGGTTACATGATGGTATTGTAAACGGTTTTGTTGACGAGGGTGGGGGGTGAACCCCCCCACAGTAATTACAGCCTGAAATATAGCGATTCCCAGAGATAAAATATTAACTTAACAATATAACGATAATATTTTATTGTATAGTCGAATGCACAATAATTACCCAAAAATAAGTGCATACCTACTAGTGAATTTATTCCAAGACGACCTTATGTCTGAGGGCTTTCACAGTTTAGGACCGTTTGCCTATAAAAATATGTGTGCTGTACAAAAAATAAAAAAAGACATTAGTATATTTTAGATTTTTAGCCGGTGCGTTGTTAGGACGTGTGTGTTTGCTGCAACAAAAGAATTTCGCGTGAACATGTTACTATTAGTTTATATTATAAAATACATTATAGTACAGTGAAACTT